ATATCCCATGCATGCTCAATCGGGTTCAAGTCTGGCGACTGAGCAGGCCAGGGCAGGACATTGATGTTAGCTGCGGCGAGAGTCTGTCTTACAACTCTTGCGGTGTGCGGTCGTGCATTATCATGCATTAACTGAAATAAGGGACCGATTTGCACTTGTAGAGGAACGATGACGTCTGATACAATCGTCTCAGCATAAATTTGAGCGTTGAGGTTGCCTCTGATCCAAATCAACTCAGTTCTTCCGCCGATCCAAATACCCGCCCATACCATGATGGTTCCACCACTATAAGGATGGACTTCCTGGCAGGATTTTAATCGCTGTTGGCGTCCAGGGGTTCTCCAGTGTCGTATACGTCTTGTATCCGGTCTCATACCAAAACGAGACTCATCAGAAAAGCACACGAAACGCCATTGTTCTTCTGCCCAATTTCTGTGTTCAAGAGCCCATTGTAATCGAATCCTACGATTGTGCATTGCTATAGGTGGTACCCGTAGCGGTCTTCGGGAATGAAGGTTCACTTCATGCAAGCGGTTTCTGACTGTTTGGTCGCTAATTAAGTTCCCTGAAGAGTGATGAAGCCTCACGGCTAACATCATGGCGGTTATTGTTGGAGCTCTTCGAGTTAAGATTTGAATGTATCGGTCTTGTCTCCGTGTGGTGCAGCGATACCGTCCTCCATGGCGCTCAGCCACGGTACCAGTGCTTCGGTATCGTGTCCAAAGTCGACTGATAACACTCTGACTTGTATTCAGAGCTAAAGCCACAGTACGTTGCCGGGAACCAGCTTCTATCATTCCCACGGCTCTGAGCATTTCTTCCCTGCTTAAATGACGTCGCCGCTCCATAATAACGTTGGTTTTAATCAGTAGTAGGGAAACAGTAGCACTAATAATGTCTTCAATGCGTTGTATGTTTTTATAGGGAAAATATTGACAGCTGATTTTCATCTTTTACTCGAATTTGATTCACAGTTCCTGATTCAAATTATGAAATGCACCAAAAAGGATCCATATAAATTTATAAAATCATAAATTTATTACAAAGCCACATCTCAATCTCAAGAAATCCGCATAAAAATGCTTGATCCCTAGACACTTTTGATGTGTGTATATAATGGCCAGATGATAATAACAGTTTTATTATATATGTTGATATTCCCCATAAATCCTCTGGGTTAATATTGATTAAATTGAAAGCTTTTATAACACTATCACTAATGATATGTCTAAAATTAAAATTATTACTGCATTTATCAACACGTGACCCAAGGAGCGTCATTGCTGTCCTAGAAAAATAATTAGATTTCTAATTGTTTCAAATAGTGCACTAAAAATAAATTTTCAAATGTGTTGGCAACTTACAAATAAATAGTAAATCAATTTAAAAGTGTAATTTATTACTAACCATTCCTATATATTATGTTTTATTGTTTGTCGCAAAAGAGGAGAGGAACATAAGCTTGTTATTCAATTCTTTAGGTACAAAGTAGTTGGCATATTATGTACTTATAAAATACAAACTAGTAATAATAACATAAATCATAAAAACTTATGGATTTAAAAAAATATATATACAGGAACAATGAACCTTAAAACTTTAAAAAATTATAATGACAAATATATTATTATGAGGAGTCCCTTTAGGCAAGGTTCCGAAGATACTGGCAGCGTTCCCCCTTTGAATAGCTAAACTAATTCTTTGTCCTAGGTAGCTGTCAGCTCTTCATTCTCCAGTGATGTCGACTAACCTTTTTGATATTTCCTTAAAAACCCATATTTGGAGCCTAGACCAGGGGTCTATTTGCATGCTTTTGCTTTTCCAGCCGCTCTGTTCTTGGTTCCATGTAGATGGGAGAGGCTAGCGTGTCTGAACAGGATGCATCCTATACCAATACCCGGCCCATCTTCCATGGAATCAAACTCATACCGTCCGGTCTCTTGCCATCGTCTCTTGCAATACCAGTCGGCTTAAGAAGACTTGGCACGTTGATGGTGGCAAGGGACCGGCTTAAGTGCGGCATGTCTCGAGAAGAGGCCTGCAATTTTTTGCCATGACAGTCTGTGATGTCCTAGCTTGTCGACATCACTGCCACAGGGACATTTAAGAGGAGCGCAGACCGGAACCCCAAGCCGTAGACAGGTTGTGATTCGGAGCGTGTCAGGCTCAAGAAATGTTCCTGTATTTGACGAAAGGTATGCGTGAAGCCAGTAGCGGGCCTCATGTTCACCCACGGCCAAAAGCCAAGCACGCGCCGAACCTGTACTACAGCTCAAAAGATTGTCGTAAGTCAATTCACAATTTATGTCGTCCCAGCTCCTCTGTGAATTTGGAGAAACTGGAAAATTTTGAGCTGGGCATGCAATTAAGAAAGCGTTTCTAGCTTCTTCCAAGCCAGCAATCACAAAGTTTGAAGGGAATGCGCTTAAAATTTTACTTATAAGATTTGTTAAACTATGGACAGAAGATAGGAAGGCTGGTAAAGCGACACTGGAAATTTTTCGAATCCCTAAACCATCATAACCGATGGGTAGGAATGCTTGGGTCCAAGATTGCTCGTTCAGCTGCATATTAAGAATCGATTCTAAGTTAATTTTGATTAAGTCACAAAATGACAAAAATGAGTTACAAAAGGAGCAATGGAGGACATACATACATTTTGGGACAAAAAGACAGAATTTTAAGATGCAAAGTGCATAATGTGGACTAATTTCAAGGAGGCGGTCAGCAGAATTTTGGAATTTATTAATTGAATTATTTATTAAATTACAATATGTTCAGAAATAATTCAAAAATTGGAGTACCTTAAAGGTAAAAGGAATTACTGTTAACTATTTTAATTTTTGGAGCCAAAATATAAATTTTTTGTTTTACGTTATTTAAATTTAAGTCGCAGTTATTTAAAATAAATTAAATAAAGTCCAACTCGATGAAAATTATTTTTGATTAAAAAAAGTCCGAAAACACCGTATCCACTTCACCTCCTAGGGTTCCGTCATCTAAATACCAAACATTGAATTTAGAAGTTAAATTTTTGATAACTGGATTTATAGCCAAACTAAAAATTGCAGGCCCAAGGGGATCACCTTGTAGACAACCTACTTTTGAGGATAGTTCATTGGAACGATATAACAATTTTGTTGGGTCAGCGTAACTGAGAAGAAGATAATTGTGTATTTCCGGTATAAGTTGTTTTATAACCGTCACCAGGGTATCCCTATACCGAATTGAATGCATTTTTGACATCAATTTTGAGCAATACGTCAGGCTGTCCATAGGTTACGAAAGAGCGTAGGACATGAACGGCTACTTCACACCCTCCTTTTACACCGAAGCCTAGCTGTACGGGTTCAAATTCCGAATTTAATTTTGGTAAAATATGTCGAACAGCAATTTTGGAGGCCAGACGTCGTAGTGTTAATCCAACAGCAATTGGTTTCACCCCTCCGTCCTTTTTGGTGAGGGCATTTAGGTTCGCGCCGAAAAGAATGGGAACAATTTCTGGATTGACATTACCGGTTTATATAAATTTGATTAATTTAGTGATCGAATTTACAAATTGCTCGCCTGCATCACCCACAGAATGCGATGTTAAGTCTTTCAAATGTTTGGGTGAGATTCCATCCAAACCTGGTTTAAAAGATAAAATGGCATACAAAACATCTTTGTTTTGAATTTGAAGGCATGCTTGCCCTGCTGTTGGTGGGTCGAGAAAATATGGGTTTACTGGAGCTGAAGGATGTTTTGTTCATAAGGCCTGAAGGGTGTTAGGGGGTGATAGCACTTCGTTGAAGGGAAGGGGGGTGATAGCACGTCGTTGGAGAACAATAGGCGAGCGGCACCTTTGAGATCTCCGTCACAGATTTTGTTTTCGATGAGTTTGTTGCGATTACAAGGGGCATCATGTTTGATTAGAGTTTCGGGAGAAGGCGAGGAGCTTCCAGCACAGTTATTCTTAATCTTTTGTGTCAATGATAAATTTTATCAGTTTTTATTATATGTAGTGTGCTGTATGAAAATAAAAATAGATTTTGCCAGTCTTGAGCAAAATTGCTTATGCAACATTTCTTTTAACAATGGGTATACTATTTTTCAAATGGCCAAGATATGTGTGGAAAGGAGTTGGTTCGTTGGCTACTTAAGTAGGCGCACTCGGAATAATGGGATGGATGTCTAAAGGTGAACTGTTTAGGCTAATACATTTCCTGCGTGTTTTTGTAGTGTGTATGTTCTTTCAAAGATTTGAATGATTTGTTGCGCTGCGTACATGTATGGGTCGCGTTCGACGCGCCGATCCTAGGCAAACTCTAGAATATAATTGTTATTGAGAAATACTTATGTATGGTTACTTTTTCATAGCGAGAAAAAAGGTACTTCTATACTAATATTATAAAGAGGAAAGATTATATTGTTTGTTTGTATTGAATAGGCTCCGAAACTACTGGACCGATTTGAAAAATTCTTTCACTTTTAGAATCCTACATTATCCCTGATGAACATAGGGTATAGAGTATTTTCAAAAAAGTTAGGATTCCGTTTAAAAACTTCGACAGCGTAACCCAGGGTGTGAAAAAAATACCTTATATCGCTTAAGCTGCGGAAGTCATTGACAGTAGAGCAAAGTGATGTACTAAAGTTTTATAGAAGACATCAGTATCTAGAAAAAAGTCCGCGATTCCAGATGTCTAACTATTACAGTTATGTATGTCACAACTAAAAGTCCCCTGCAGTTTCACCCGCGTTAATTTGAGGAAAAAAGTTATAGTGAGCCAAACTTGAAACTTACGCGGATTTTTTTTATAGAACTTTTAAAGGGGAACAATTCCGCCATACATGATTTTTGTGTAACTTTAAACATTTACGCAGTGCACGCAACGGAACCTCACAAATGGAATATTGTTACCAGTTTTATTAACAATTCACATCGATAATCCTGCCGCAGCGTGATGTTATATAGCCTTAAGAATTATATGACTAATTAGGATTTGTTTATTTTACAGACCCTCATCAGGTGCCATGCCTATAATTCAGTCCTGTTGCTGTTGGCGCAGTCTGCGTCGAGGGTGCTATGCTTCAGCTCTGTATACTATGGTAAATATATTCATTTTGTTGTGTTGCAAAGGGCTATTGTTGTTGACCCATATATATATATATATATATAAACAGTATCCTACTTAATATGATAAATGCGACAGTTTGAATGTTTGTTAGTCAATTACGCCAAAACGACAGAACGGATTTGGTTGAAAGGACAATGCCAGAAGTCCTATAGAGGTTTGACTCACCCGATAAAATTGGTTAACATGAATGCGATAAATGACATTTGATAGCTGTAATATTAGGAAACAAAATAGTAAAGTTGTGAATTCTCTATGAAATGAAATGAAAAACATTTATTCGGAACAGACGTGGATACATACAAATGGTTAAATTTATACACACACACACATACATATATATATATATATATATATATATATATATATATATATATACATATATATATATATATACACACACACTCACACACACATATATATATATATAATATACATACACTAAATGACGGACGTTAAGAAACATACATTACAAATATCCACAGCTGGACCGAAAAGGATCCAGTTCAGCATGAGTCAGTTTGCACTAACGCTGGTTTTCAATTGGTTACTTTTCTAATTTGTGGATGCCAGACACTATGACACAAGATTGAAGGATTATATTAAATAAAAATGAAATATTACAAATTGTACTAGTAAACAAAAAAAACAAGGTTAAGTGAGTAACATATTCAGTAATTTTATCTAAACAGTAAATAACACAACAACACATTTTCAAGGTAAACAAACCATGAAACACTGATATAAATGACTTATTTTGCAGACTGGACCCAGTTAAAAACTCATCACATCCACAAAACGCCACGTTTGAGAACAACGGCAAATAGCACTTACATTTTATTTTTAAATTGCTTACAACTGTGTTGTGTATAAGAAGTAGGATGAGTGTCATGTACAAAATTGTTTATGCTCTTCGAGCCATGAACCAAGTTTTAATGGAGAAATGACTGCTGACCTGCCACAATCACCGTCAAACCAACAACGCCAATCCAATCCAATATGGTCTGGTGCACTATGTGCCTTTGTTTTTACTGGTTACCAATTACTGACTTTTTTAATTTAGTATATAAGTAGGTTTATTAAGTTATATGTAAGACATGTCTATATTCATACTGCCAAATTTTTGTTGTGCATTTGTGAGATATTGATGAAGATGTTTTCTGAACACATAAATGGAGTTACTTGCTCTTATAGGGGGTGGGATATTATTCCAAATCTTTGCTGCTGCATAGCGAAAACTGCCCCTGAAAGATGCTGATCCATGACTCTGAGTAGCAAGCTGCTGGGAGCACTGCCTTCTGCAGTTTAGCCAGACAAGCCGATTGTAAAGATATGCAGGTTGCCTAGACCTAATCACTCCAAATAGTAAACATGCCAGATGTAGTTTACGCCTAGATTTCATTTTAAGAATTGCGTGTTGGTTCAAGAATGGGGTAATGTGGCATTGAGGAGGTATATTGTAGCAAAACCGCGCACATGCATCTCTCATCTCTCTAGAAGTTGCGGTTCTTTAATAACATACTAACAAAGAGAACAATTATCATACGTTTCTCGAGCTGCAATTGACCAGAAATTAGGCGCTTTCATACCTTTAATGAATAGGTAGTTTCGAGGTACCTATTCCTCTGTTTTTCGATTTTTATCAGTCTGTGAGGGTTTCTGAGTTTATTAATTACAGGGAAATATAGAAATCGTTCTCTTCTTGTGTATATACATAATTGTAATAATAACGAAAATAAAATATATATATAATTACAAATAATAAATCCGTATCCTAAAAAAAAGCCACAAGGTCGTATAAAATGCGTGTTCGAGTCCGTATTCAAAAGCAAAAGTCGTAATTATTTTACAAAACACCCGATTCGTCTTCGTTTTGTTTCGTTCACTTTGTCGCACATAGAAAAGCAAATGTCAAACAAAAGGATATCAATCCAGAATGGCGTTTGGTTTCACATAGTACTACCATTTAATAATGTTTATGCGCATAAAAATTAAAAGGTACTAGAATTTTTAAACTTCTATATAAACATAAATTAATTATATTTATAACCGAAATGCGTATTAGATCCATAAAGTTAAAAAAGAGAACAATATTTTTCAAATACTTGATTAATATTTTATTGTTTGTCGTGCATCATAACGCATATGTCATGTTTCGTTCTTGCCCTAACGGAAACAGTAGGTACACATTAATTTCATATTTATTGCGTATCCGCAGGTTTTACAAAGAAATAATGAAATCAGAACGAGTTTTTTTTTTATAAATTTAATATTACTGTAGTCGGTGGGTCAGAATCTGGCATAGTCATTTGGCACACATATAGTACACATTTATCGACTGTTATAAAGGCGGTACGCAGTTCGCCGGGTCAGCTATAATATAATTGCAATGTTACAGACAGATACATATTCACCACATAACTAAGCATTTGTATTTTTCTAAATTCGAAATGTATAGTAAATAAATCAAATCGAACGCTGCTCATATTATCGCTGAGCTTATGTAGACATTTATATTTTTCATTTAATTCAATCCTTTTGATCAGCTACTGTTTGCAATATTTCAATAAAATATTTAAAAAAAATCTAGATGAGAATCGCATTTAATGGCATTACTTTATTTTTTCCATAAAATATGACTTTCACTTCACTATTGTTATGTGTCAAAACGGCCATCATCATAACGTCATTGCAAAATATAGCCACAGTTTTTCGGTGTCAGGGCATATTTAACGATTCAATTCTTTGATTTAAAAGAAATTAATGAAGATGATTGAGCCTTTCGATTGGTGCAATAAAATTACTACCTTTGAAAATTTCAAGTATACTTTAAGCTAGGTTCAAACTCAAAAGAAATCCTTGCAAGGTTTTCAGTGAATTCAGTAAAATGCAAGAAAGAAAAAATAGAAGTAGTATAAGAACTACCCAACATGTGTCTATTATAATCACTAGAAAACGTATTTTCTTTACAATTCAATAAAAATTGTTGTTGAAATACTAATTCGAAAATGCCACAAAACAATTTACTATAATTTTTTTATAAGATTTTTCTTAATATTTGTGATATTATCCTGAATTTTGACTCAACCTATATAAAGGTTTCCCAGTCAAACTCTTTTAATTTTTGCTGAGTGGCTAATGATGTGAGGTCTAGCGTTATGGTGATGAAAAACCACACCCCTTCTGTTGATAAGGTCCGGCCGCTTTCTCTTCTTCTTTCTTTAATCTCGTCAGTTGTTCGTAGCAGAGTTCAGAATCGATAGTCCTGCCTGGCGGTAAGAGCTCATAGCGAATAATGACCTTCCAATCCCACCATACATTCAGTATCACCTTGTTGCGAGTTAACCTCGGTTTTGCCAGAGTCTGTGAAGCCTAAACGGCCTTTGACCACTACCTTTTTCGCACGTTCTTGTCGTACGTGACACACGTTTCACCACTAATTATCATCTTCTTGAAAAATGGTTAAGTTTCATTTCGTCGTAATAAAGAATCAGAAATGAGTACACGGTTCATTATGTTTCTTTCAGTGAGCACGTGAGGCATCCAAATATCGAGCTTTTTTGTGTACCCAGCTTTTTTCTAATGCGCCAAAACTATTTTTTGGTCTTTTTCAAATGCGCCAAATTGTTTTGTGGTCAATTCCCAGTCCTTCAGCTACGTTGTTACTACTGATAACAGGGCGACCAGAGCGACGTGCATCTTTAACATAAAAAATTCCGGATGAAAAACGCATAAACCAAATTTGGGCTACTCTCACAGACACTGCACTAGGTTTCATAAACATCACAATTTTTTACCTTTTTTGTAGTAAAATTTTAAAATGTATCGAATTTCTTAATTAGAATCACTTATCTTAACAGTAAGAAAATCACACATTTTTCTAATTTATTCTTGAATTGTATTCTTAATAATCTTAACTTTGATAATACCAAAACCAGCCAGATACAAATGGTATAGCCAAAGAGATTTTATTACAAGTTCATACATACTATAATTCGAAAAGACTTTTCCCCCAACCTATAATATATTTGTCGATTTTTCGAATTGGAATACATGCTTATCATCCCATCTGACGCGCGTGGTCGCAAAGGAGGTAGTTAACATACTTACAACCTCTGGCCGGAGCCGAGTAAAAAGCCAAAGTTTGAGAATTAAACATAACTAAGGTAAAATATTCGTAATTATGTAAATTGTAAACTGTTACAATTTACATAATTACGAAATAAAACTGGATTATAAAGGTTCGCTTAAAAATAGATATTATTAGGTATAGTCAGCCAATTTCATTTGATTAAGCTTTTTTTGTTACAACCATTTCAAAACAATAACGCAGATTTTTGCTTAAATGTACGAATGCTTGGATACAAACTTGTTATTTTTCGAGCATTCGATATTTGACATGCCAGATTTTGCCGTCTCATGTTATTTGATAAATCAAGCTTTCAAATTATTTATATTTCATCTTTGTACCGTGTCGTCTTCGTTGTTTTTCGGATAAAAATGCATCTAAACACTTCCGTTCTCAAAAAGGATTAAGAGAAAGTCAATTAGTAATAGTTGGCATTTTAACGATTTTTGACATCGGCCAAATCGCAGAGATACAAAATCTCGCTAATGTTAGTGGAATACCATTCAGACAGAAAAGCAGCAGACCCGGTTTTAGTTTCGTAAAGGTTAGTTGGTAATATAAGTCTTTCAGCTACAAAACTTTCATTGTTCTGTTCATATAAGACTAACGAAAGGCATCATACGCCGAAGTCTAAGTCTGAACCGAGCTGAGGTAAAAACTTTATTCCTTAATTTGAAATAAAGGTACCTTCCAACCTTGGGAGACTATCCGTTGCATCACTGAGTTGTAGTTATTCTTCGGGATGGGACGGTAGGTACTCTTTGTCCTAACTGCGCCAGAAAGTGTTCCGCTAGACACAATCCTTTGCGCCATTGGCCACGGCGTTGGCAAGGACTTGTCTTGTC